CTTGTTACAGAATAAACAAAGAGGAATATTGGAGCTTTAAGGAAATTAGGGCGTTTTTTCAGTTTGTTTTAAAAAATATCTATCATCAAAAGCCGTTGCCGTTAGGAAAAAAAAAAATAAATCTCATTTGGTCTACAGTATTTTTAACTACATTCAACAAAAGAACTGCCTTTCCTGGCTAAACAAGTGTCAAGAAGGATATTATTAGAACAGCTTTAAAAATAAGATGCCTTTGAGTTTAACAACTACAACACAATACAAATGGGAACAGCGTTAATGGCTGAAGTAACAACATAAATCAACAAAAAACTCAGTACCAAACATACTGTATCCAACCAGTTTGTGGATATCCACAGAGTCAAGAAACAAGCCTACTGAGACATCAAAACTTTTCAGAAGCAGCTACTTACTACTCCATTATGCAAGTTTTGTGTAATCAAACAAGCTACCACAGGACAGAACTATTAATCCTATTGCCTTTTGGGAACAACATCGTAAGCAGAGATTTCTTTAACATCCCCACTAAACTCAAGTATTTTAAGGTTGCGTTCTACTGTTCGATCTACCTCGCCATAAATAAATCCTAAAAAGACTGGGGAAAAAGAGAAGAGAGGTTATCAAAATCATTGCCTTTTCTAGACCTGGATCAACTTTTCCCCATCGCTCCCAACATGTGTTTGCCTGTGAGGTGACAGAATCTACTAATGGACATTCTGTCAGTAAGTTAAGGAAATCTATTCTCATGCTTCGCTATACCTAGCCATAAAGAAAAGGGTAAAGGGTTGAATAGTAACACAAAACCCTCTTCTCCACTACCATTTAAAGTCACTACTTCTGGCAGTAATCACCACAACCCTGGAGAACAAGTTATTTGCATTCTTTGCATTAGATTTAGCAATTCTCATTTCTTTTTTAAACAGCCTCAGTTTTTTGATTTTTTTTTTTCCTAAGTCTTTCCTCAAAGCTCTGACCTTCTAGACTTCAGTTCACTATTATTATTCTTCTCTAGACTCTCCTCAGCTGTATTTTGTGAAGCTGTGTCCCAAAATCAGACACAGTATTCAGCTAAGGCCTTTCCAGTCCTATGCAAAACAAAAGGATTATTTCACTTATCTTTTGAGGTATACTCCTGCAGAATATTAGCTGGATATGAAGCATCTTGTAGCTAAAGTTTAACTTGTCCTCACAATTAAACCAGATGTCATTCACAGACAATAAAGTTAGCTCAATCACTGAACACAAACGAAATAAACATAATTGAGATTCAACATAAAACTTATTCCCAAAATTACAAAAGCAATGAAATAAAAAAAAAAAAAAAAAAATGCTTATATTGCTTCAACTTTCCAAGTAACACGTTTAATTGTAAACACTTCAGAGAAATAGAAACTTAAAAGGAAATTTATTCTAATTCCCAGCATGATAGGTTCCCTAAATGTTGTTACAGCAAAACGAACCCCCGTTTGTCTTGGTATACCTACGTTACTTTATGAGAATCTACCACTTCATATGACAACATTAGATGCGCCTTTTCATTCTATGCATTTTATTATTCTTCTAAAATCTGTTCTAAAAGATTAAGGTTTCTAAATATATAACTAATATTGATGCAGGATAAATTCCAGCATTGCCACCTAGAAAACGATCAACCATCCAACAGATCAAGCCCTCACTTCCCAACCTTCAAAGTAATTTTTGTCTTCCAAAGAGCAGTTCAGGGCACACTACTCCGAAGTACAGAAAATCTCATTTGAATTATTTAATACTGGTGTAAATAATCTCTAGCAACATGAACAGAGCCTTTCCTCCCAGCTGTCACACACTCCTTACTCCTTCTATCAACTGCCCTGTTACACTCTGAAAGCCCTCCATCCAAACAATCCCTTTTCCTGACAATTCATCCCGGGGAAGAAGCCAACCTACCTGCCTCCGGACACCAGCACTTACCCTAGGCCTCCCAACTCCAGCAACTGAACGGTGAGCAGAAGAGGAAAATTTCTGCTAAATTCACGTGTCCCTGCCCTTTTCAAATCTTTATGCCCCCGTGAAGTACCCATTTCCTAAATGTACTATATGAGTGCATGGGCAACTACTCTTATAATCTGGAATTGTAATACAGAAAAAAATGCTTTAGCCAGGCTACTGAGGCAACTTCTGAAGAACTAAGTTCATATTTGATTAAAAACTGGCCATAAGTCGAATGGTATCGCTTAAACTTCTTTTTCAAAACTCCAACCCTTGAATTCGTAAGCAACACTGATGTCGTTTTAATCAACACAGAAACACTCGATTACCACCTTGATACAGAATACCTCCTTCACCAGAAGATTCTAACTTATAAGTTTGTGCAAGACGACTTTGAGGTCTGTCAGAGATTCTTGTTGTCCACCCCTCTCATCAAACTAGAAACTGAGTAGAGAACTCAAGGTTTTCTTTCTGGAAATCAGGACAGCAGTTTCTGAAAGATTACAGGAAACTAAAACCTTTCCAAGTATCTCCTCAAAGTAACTGAGGTTATGCTCCTTGACAGGCTTCCACAGCAAGGTTACTTTTAAAGCTTAAATTTACCTTGTCTTGAAGGAATTAAACAAAACACTAGAGCATGTACTTGTATTAGAGCCATGAGTCAGTCAGGAGCACTTCAGTGTTCTTCTGACTTATGTCACTTTGAATTTGCATTATATGTTAGGTTGGCTTGTTTTAGTATTAAGGATAGTTTCCATTTTAACAGTATCATCAATTTTTTGGTCTTGAACTTTATTAATGGTACAGGTTTAGATGAAGTAATAGGTGTACTTATACAGTAAACAAAATGTAATTACTTACGACTTGAGGAAGAACAACAAGACCACATCAGAAAATAACAATTCTAGCACCGGCTTTGCCTTAGACCTGTGTTCCAGTATCTCCAATATATACGTAGTTTACTTTTAAATAGCACAAGAATACCCCCACACACTTCCAAACCTTGAATATATGCACCCGTATTTGCAATGCAACCTCTCTGGTTGTCAGGTGTTCCAGATACCAGAGTGCTTCTCTCCCTCTCTCTCATGTAAGATATTCAGGGCCAGGGGAGAAGAAGCTACAGTATATAATTTAGCATTTGCAGTCAAATCTAATGACTGATGCAGGCTGAAGCATTTCTGAAGTTCAAGTGACTTACGGCAGTTGCACAAACACCCCCCCTTGTTACAAAACCCGATTTTTAAAAATTCTTGCCTCCCGCCACTGCTTTCTCCTCTCCTCTCCCTTGCACTGCAGTTTAGTTACCCAACTCAGCTGTATTGGTATTAGTGTTTCTAGGGCCACACTATAAAACAGTTATTGAAATAACTCCACAGAGATTTATTTTTTTTTTAATGGCAGAAATGACTGAGAAACGTAGTTCCATATACAGTTGCACCAGCACAATCTGGGCGATAGAAGTCAGCAAGAAGCTTTTTAACCTTATTTTGCTGCTGAAAGCAAGCACTTGTTCAACCCCACTCTTTAGGTATTTAAGTTTCTCAACAAGTTGAGAGTTTCTCCTTACTCAGGGAAGTTGAGACTGGGCTTGCATTGCTCAAACCACTTAATCACCCTGCTGGTTACGTGTAAAATATATGTATACTGCTGAGTTTTATATGCCTTCAGCAAGTAAGCCAGTAACTCCTTAAGATGAGGGAATCAATCTCACCTCTCACTAGCACTGATAGGGGCAGACTCCTTCCTTATTTCTCCTTTCTGGCTATCTACCCAGCATAAGCTCTAGTACTTGTCAAACTTCTCAACTCATTAATTCCACTGTAATCCACTATGCTATTAATAAATAAAACGGATAAAAAGACAGTCTTTTTCTGGTGAGATGGGAGTCAAATTGGACCCCTCTGTGAGGTGATGATCCAAGCCAGTTTGTTTTCCCTGACGGAGGTGCTCTCCCCCCAGAGCAGCGAGGAGCTGGTACCTGGTGGGCTCGGCACCTCCACGGACCACAAGACTTTATTCTCAGAAAAGTCCCGTACTGATTACAGACACACTGGGGAAAGCCAAGCTGAAATAATCTTCAGCAACTACTGCTCGGAACAAGAAGGCTGAGCTTTTGGCACCTGTATTTACCTCCGGGAACAGACCTGATGCATGGCATTTGGCAATTCGTTCTGACTTCGATGCCTACAGTACACGAATCTGCAAAATACCTCGTGTTGTTACGGCACATTTTCATTCCACCTCCTGACAACGTTTTTGAAGCGTGAGCAACTTAACTTACGCTTTAACCCTAGCAAAACAGGTAGTACTGCTCGCCCTCCGTGGGATTTGGGAAGTTAAGTAACATGCCCCAAAACACAGGAAGTATGCAAGAGACACAAACCAGAGGCCTGACATCCTCAGCGCCTGCACAGCGCCCTGCCCGTTAACATTTCCTCAGACTCCCCGCGCAGAAACGGCGAGCCAGGCCAACATCCACACAAGGAACCGTACCCGACCCTGCTGTTAAAGCGCGTTCCCTGCATTTCCCAACCGTCGGGGGAAAAGGATTACACATCCCACACGCACACAAAGCCTTGCCGGCCACAGCCGCCCGGTAACAGCGAGCCTAACAGCCGGGGCAGGGAGGCGGGCTCCCCTCACACCGGACCGGGACCGCCGCCCCTCGCCAGCCGGAGCGCGGCGGGGGGAAGCCCCGGCCCCCGCCGGCTCCTCCGGCCGCCCCCGGGGCAGCGCGGGCCCCGCCTGAGGGAGCGAGGCCGAGGCGAAGCGCGGAGCCTCCCCGCCCCGACGCTGCACCACCGGCGGCGGCGGGAGCCAGCGGGCGCCCCCGCCGCCGGAACGGGGAGGAGGCCGGGGGCGTCCCCGCAGCGGGGATTCCCGCAGCCGGCCCCGCGTCTCACCCTGCCCCGCGCCCCCCCGCCGCGCAGGCCGGCCGGAGAGGCGGGGGCGCGATCGGCGGCGGGTGTGTGTGTGTGTGTGGGGGGGGGGGGTGGTGGTGGGCGGCTGCCGCAGCCGCCGAGTGGCCTCACCTCCTCCGGGATGGCCGGGTCGCCGCTGCCCCCCGCGTAGCAGGCGCCGAGCGCGGGCGGCGGCGGCGGCTCAGGCTCCATGTCCCCGTTGAAGAGCGAGGCCCCCTCCGCGCTGCTGCCGCTGCTCAGCGCCGCCATCTTGGATCGGAGCGCCGAGGCGAGGGAGGGGGAGGGGGGAGCCGCGTCCCCGCCGCCGGGACGCCCCCAGCCGCGACCCGTAGCGGGAGGGGGGAGGGGGGGGGAAGCGCAGATCCCGGCCAGCTCCCAGCGGTCCGCGCCACCGGCACGTCACGCCCGGCCCGTGACGTCACCCAGAATCGCCGCCGCCGCCAACTGCGCATGAGCCGCCCGACGTCACCGGGAAACACCCTGACGTCACGGAGCGACCACCCCCCCACCCGTCGCCCTGGGAACTCGAACGTGGGTTGGGGTGCCGCCCCTCCAGGCCGCGGCCCCGCCCCCCCCACCCACCGCAGCGCCCCCTGGCGGGGCGGAAGCGCAGCGCCTTTACCCCCGCGGGGCCGGGGCCGGGCCCGTGGGCGGCGGGAGAAGCCCCACGCGAAATAAATCGGCTTGGCGGGGCCGGTGTAGGCACCAAATGCCAGGGGGTCGGCGGGGGGGGTCCTTCCCAGCAGCGGCCCCGGTGACAGCGCGGGGAGCCCCGCAAGCTGCGGGTGGAGGAAAACCGGGACCGAGGTGCCGGCAAGATTAAAACGGGGAGCAAATGGGATTTTACACGCTCCGTGAGCTCGTCTCGTGCTAGAACAGGAGTGCGGTGAATAGCCAGGGGAGGAGAGGGGCTCCCGGCCGGTCTGACGTCATTTGCCAAACAATCGCGTGGCAGCTCTGAGGTAAATCTTTATAAACACGTACCACGCGCCAGCGACAGAGATACTTTCAAAAAAAAAAAAAAAAACAAAAAAACACATTTTCATCTGAAAGCGGTGTGCCTGCTCCAGTTATAACTAAAATATTTGATAGGTTGAATTGATAAAACATCCTTATTTTTTCCGTCGGCGGCATTTAGGCCGTGAGGTGCCGCAGGCTGCTGGGTGATTTACCCAGGCCGCTTCCAGCGAGGGAAGGGTCTGGTCGGGGGCTCGGCAGAAACGAGGACGCCTTCCTTCCCCTGGGTAACGAACGCCTCGCTTGCCCTCTGGCCAGCTTTATCCAAGCTGGAGGCCCGGGAGCAGATCCCGGATTCCGAATCCGAGCGTCCGCCCTGTCCTGCACCTTGTCTGCGTGACGGGACGGGCTCGGCCTTCCAAAGAAGAAGAGGAAACGGGCAGAGCTCCGAAAGCTCCGAAAACCAGGAGGAGCTGGAGCCAACAGCCACCTCTGCCACCCCCTCCCGCCCCCAGGGCCCGCTCCCCCCAAAAAATCCCCAGTGCTGGTGGCCACCTTCCCCCAGCGTGCTCACAGTTGAAGTGAAAACTTGTGTCATATCGCTCCCTGCCGCACCCGTCAAAACGCCGCTTGCGCACCTAAAGCATTCGCTAAAATCAGGGGGGTTAAGTTGCTTTCTTGCCGGAAGGGTCTTCATGATAAATACCAGATTGGTAACGCTATTTTAATGCATTGCAAAGCAAACCTAAGGTGTCAGAGCAGCAGCGGGATTTCAGAGAGGGTAAAGGCTGTTCTATCACAACCTGACGATTTTATGGCAGCCAGTTAAAACACTAAGCTGAAACATGCACGTGCAAACGTATTTATCTCTGTTTCACTGTAGTTGTGAATATGTAACCATACAACCTCTTACTGTAATAATCCGGATGATAGATCTGAGGTTTAATATTTCACCTGTCACACTGGGGCCATTGCTGTGTAAAAGTGCAGTTCGATACTGGCAGCGCTGCAACTGGTAAATAAATGCAACATCAATTTACTGTATGGACACAGCAAAACCACAATGGAGTCAGGAATACCAGAACCTGTGGTATGGAGGGAAGGAACTCAGGGCATGAATTTAGCTGAAGGTCTTTCCTGTAGAGAGCTATGCAGTATTAAATGCCTCCTGAACACACATGAGAAATAAGCAAAATAATCCCGTTAATATTTAAATGGATTTTAATTTATTATCTGACAGGCTACGCTCTCCTGAGATAGGAGGCTAGGTTTTTCTACAACTGGTGTCCTGCAGTGCAGTCAACAAAAGGGCTGCACAAATGCACAGGAACCAAATGTACAAACTAAGCAGCTCGCCTAGTTTAGAAATTTCTAATAGCCACGTTAATGAAGATGATCATTATCAGCAATTCCTGCTATGCGATGGGAATGTGTAATGGTAGTGAAAAATGCACACGGACTCTGGAAAACAACATACCTGCTGAGGACTAAGCACTGGGAGAAATTTCTCTGATCTTTGAAGGAAAAAGCGGCAGAGGCAGTACGAGGTGGCTATCCCAGCACACAGCCTGTTGTGGAAGAGCCAACGGAGTAATATGGGTTAACTGAGAGAGCAAGTCAATCCGTTTCAATGAAATTTATACCAAGGGATAGTTTAGTCTCAATGTACAGAACGTAGCCATAGCCCTCGTTTTATTCCCCAAGCAATTTATGTCCAGGTCATAACTCTAGCAGTAGAATTAGTAGACTACTATCAATCTGTAAACGGTAATACCTTTCCCAAAGCTTTTAGTAATCTTGTGTGCCTTTATTCCCGAGCTTCTGATTTTTTCAGAGGATTTATATTCACATAAAATATATTTGCTACACTTTCTTGTTACATTTGATGTACCACCTGAAGAGTTGCAATTCTAAAACCTAATGTTGACAACCAGTGACCAAATCTGGGCACACAGCAGTTACCACCCAAAATACATGAGTTAAAAACCCAGCGTTTCAACTGAAATAAAGAACAGAATACTATTTTAAGAGTCGTGTAGGAAGGAGACAGAAATTTACTATTTATGCTCTACTTTCCTTTTGTTTGGGGGAATCCACACCTAGAGATAAATGGAATTACCTACTTCGCATGGTGGCATTTTTGGTTCCTCTGTTTAATCCGTCATGATGGAAGATAAATCGTTATTACCTGTAACTATTTCTTGGTGACATGAATTCCTATCTACTGATAATTGATATAATCAACATCTTTTACAGAGATTAGCTTTCATTACCAACATAGGTCAAAATCAAACTTATAACCTAGATGTGAAAGGCTGGTTTCTGCTATCAAATCCGCAGGCTACTTGGGATACTGGCTGGTTGATTCCTACAATGCAGCACAGCCAGTTTATCTGGTATTGCAGCAGGTAATGCATACTTGTAAACATAAAACCCGCCACCTCCCATCAGACTCTTCATTATGCACTGGGGTTTGATCCTCCTCAGAATTTGTTTATTTTAATTCAGATCAGAAAAACAACTCCAGCTGTTAAAAGACAAAGGCTCTTCAGCTAGATTGCCCACCACCAGAACAAGTGTCTGATCTAATCGACGCCTGCACTTCCAGAGAACACTGTTTTAATGAGTCAGTAAAAAAAATTATATGGCTACCTTACAGCAACTGTCTCCTTGTGAGCATTTGAATGTGTCTTTATCCTTTCCTCCTGAAAAAGAATTAATCTTAATGAGGTATTCCAAAACAGGAACGTCCAAAAGAGGTATTAGATAAAACCTAATACTGGTCTCATTTATGGTATTCTTTCAATAGATGACAGTATCTCAAAAAACCCACAGCCTTTCAGTCTCCTAATCAAAAATTTACACAATTTGCATATTGATATAATAGAAACTGATTTTGTAAAGTGGTGTGAAACTCAACACATTTTAAACTCTGGATGTCTAAATTTTTTCCAAATTTCCCCAAACTGCTTAGCCTTTTCATATGCTGAAAAGACAGTATTTGTCCCGTACATTGTAGCGTTACTGCTTGGCCCATATACATTTGAAAATGCTGGATTAAATTCTGCACCATGAGAAGATAATTGCAGGTCTTCTAAAGTATGTTAAAATATACACGTCACTTTTAAATGCTGTAGTGTGAAGTGCACAACTTAATGTATCCAAGGCAATAGTACTGTTTATATAGCAGATTAATCCTCAATCTTAACAGTGGAAATACAGATGTTGATGGAACACAGATACTAATGACAACAGTCATGTTCCCTGTTATCTTGGCCAGAAAATTTAAAGCACGCCAGAAATTAAGCTGTTGTCCAGAATTAAGTAATTTTCTGATTACTAGTCAGAATAATACATACTTCAGAAAATTATTTTGCTCTCCAGGAAAAGAATGTTGAAGACATGTTTTGAGGAAAGGACAGAGAATTTCTTTTTTCACTTCTCTTTAGCACGTTTAGTGTTAGACCTATTAAATAATAACTAAATATAATAAATAATTAAATAACATATATATATACACACATATATATATTTAAAACCTGTTATTCCACTGACTTTAAGATACACTGTCATTTCTAGGGATCACTGTCTGATTGTTTCAGTGTGAGGCAATAGAGAAAGTAAGGCTGTTTTCTTCTTCGCTTCCCCCCCAACTTTTTTTTTTTTTTCCTTTTTTAAACTATTCCTGTACAGATCGTATGTATTTTTTCCTTTGGTAGCGTCCTGAGAATTTCTAGTTCAGGAGATTTACCATTCTGTGATACTGCTGAACCTGAAACATTCATGCCTTCAGCGAGAAATCAGGTAGTATTTACGTGGTGATTTGAACTTGGCAACTGAACAATCTCAACTGTATTTTTTTTCAGTCGATGGAGACTTCATCGTTCTTTCCCTTTGAGTTAAATACATGAGCAGAAATTATGAGGATGGGTGGACACCAGGAAAAAAAACGAGGTAGGGAAAAAAGAAGATGTGAATCCACCAGGTTCTTAACTCGGTTTTCATTCTACCATTAAAAGCAATGTTGACCTAACAAGATTTCTTTTATATATAAATAATAACGTATTCTGGATTTTCTTGTAATGATATTGGAAATATTTACATAGATTTCATTTGATTCAAGCATAATTTATTTTAGAGTCATTCTTTAGGAAACTGTTGCTCTTCTCTCTAAACCACAGCCCAAGCATTCAGAAAGTAAAAAGCAAACCGTTTCCCTTTGGAGGCAATGTGTGGGAGGCAGGGAGCAGGAGAGGTGATGGGACTGGAACATAGGAGTGACTTTGCATATAGGTCCCTTCTGTACCCTGCACGTCGTTCAGCATCACAAAAACAAAATGCTAACCTGCTTCCTTCCTTGTCTGAGGAATGACTTGAGGGTCCGGCAGTGTGTGCTGCATCGCCGTGCTATGCCCCCCTCTCTGCTGGCCGCCTGCCTTCTCTCACACACTAGCATGGGAAGCTGAGAAAACTACACATTTTATTGAACAGTAGTGTAAATACTGGCAGATGCGGCGTATAAGGGACCATCAAGAGAGAGCATGAGCCCTGAAACCACTACTGAGAGAAGTAGCAGCCAGTGGAAGAGGAGGGGGAGGGATGGGGCAGGAGGTTAGATGGAGAACGTAGAAGTAGTAGACACTGGAGAAGATGTGACTCTCTTAGGAAACCAGAAGCAGATGAAAACAGGGAAGCAAAGGAGCGAGGAGCACTGATTTTCCTGCCCGTTGTACTTTACTGAAACCGGGACCAAATCTCACATTTGAGAAGATTGGTTAAGACCCTCCTGTTACCTTCGCCTCCCTCGTCATTGCTTTAACGCGTTCAGCTTGTTTGGGTATCTGATTTCTGAGTCCTTTGTGTTGGACAGTGATAAGCTGATCACAGTTTTACGGACTAAATAGTTTTAGATTCTTCACGTTACAATGTGAACAGTCACAGTTTGCAACTCAAAACCATCCCATGTAGGCACAAAAAACGGCTAACGCGATTGAGTGAGTTCCAAGAAAGGATACCACCTCAAACAAGTTACCTGGCTGTTCAGAAAATTACTGTTCAATTATGTTCCAGTCTTAGAATTCTCTTTCATAGCATCCAGGCTAGCTGAGCTTTCCCTGGCCTGAATACCTGCTGTAATTTGATTTTCCATCACTTTACAGACAGGTTGGTAACTCTCTACATCTGTGATCTAATAACAGTTTAGATAGTAACTGTGCCTTTCAATTTCCAGCCTCTTCAGTGAGCCTAAAAAGTCCATTAGGGTTAGTATTGGCCTGGAGTAAGGAAACTTTAAGAGTCCAAAAAGGCTAAATCAATCATATGAATCAAAGACAGCAACAGCAGCTTTGGTGTGGAACAGAGACAACATGGTAACTGATCATGTCTTTTTCAGGGCAATACTCCACGTTGCTGGAGTTTTAAGAGTCACTGTTCTTCAGTGATGGGTCAAATAGGATGGATAACCTTGTTAAGGGAATGCTTATATTGTAATATACATATACACATCTTACGTATTTAAACACAAGTGTCTTTTGCTGAGAGAGTCAGTACAACAGTTGATAATCCGTCCTTGTCTTTTAATTCTCGCTACCACCAAGACAACATGAGCCTGAGATCCAGTCTCTCCCCAAGAAGCAAGCTGCCTGCCAAGCATGTGGGAACTAGGACAGTCTCCAAACCATGCTGCTGTATTCTCATCATTCCTGCAAGTATGCTCTTGGCCAAAGGCAAAATTTCTGGTGCAGTGGTCAATGGCCTCTCAGCGTTTTTGATGCTGTGGATTGCTTGAAGCTTGTGGTTATGCTGAAGGCCCTCAGACATGGTTATTCCTTTCTGATACAATATGACTTCTCTCTCCAGAAGACACATTTGTTTTGGTAAATGAACACAATTTCTGTTACCCCTCTCTGGGGGAATTCTGCAAGGCTCCAGCTTAGTTCTTCATTTTATCTTAAGTGGTTTGCATGCCTAGTCAGTACTCCACTCTCTGTCCTCAGAGGGCATTAATGTTTATTAATAAACTTGATGATGCTATCAAACAACCTCACTTTGAAAATACAGAGACTCATCACACTGTTGCCTGTATTGGTGTCAGGCAGCAGGGCAGTATTTTGGCCAACATCACAGCATATAAGCAGAATAACTAAGTGCAAAAGCAGAAAAATAGAGGCTGCAGTGTTACTTGCTCGTTGTCAGTAACAATTCTGATACTCTCTAGCCTAATTAATACTTTCTTCTTTATGCTGTTCATTCAAAAAGCATTTGTGAAGTTTAGAGCTTGTGAACAACGCTCACCTGCACATCAATTGCACCAAACAGACCCAGGACAGACAGCCAAGAAATAACACATGCTGCCTCACAGGCAGCCTGCGTGTCGGTCGCCTCCCGGCCGCTCACGCAAGAAACGTCTGTCTAGGTGGCATCTGCACTGCCTCATTCACGGGCTCCTCTCTGATATTAACGTGCCAGTTTGAACAAGCCATCTGAATACTGCTTTAGGTTGGAGCCTTCATGTAAATGCTCCTATGCCTACAGACGAAACATAATACTAAATAACATCAGCCGAAACATCAGTCGTATCTTTTCTACTTAAATAAAAAGCCAGCATAAACTCTGACATCTTAGAAATATTTAAAAAAAAAAAAATATGATAAACTTCTCTGTTAACAGCTCAATACTGAGTGCAATGCCCTCACACCTTTCAGATAAGCTCTGTCATCGCCCGCTGCTCCCCCTGAAATATTCTGAGCAGCAGCTTGACGCTGCCTGTCACACACAGGCTCCCTCACCTGCAAGTACAGAAATTAAAAATGTCGCACCTTGCCTGTCAGAGTTGCTGGTTGTAAATAGGACAGCGTCACCCAGATGTCAGCACAGCACACGTCAGCTTGAGGCTTTCTTTAAGCCACCTGCAGCTCTCTTCTCCACGGAAACCAACCCGTGGTACCCAGGCAGCCTAATATTATTCTGATCATCACTCAGTATCCCAGGGGGAGCAGCTATTGCATGCATAGGCATGACAGAGCCTCCAGAGATGTTGTTTCACCAGTCCTATCCTGAAGAGACTGCCATCAGTCAAAGGCTGAAGGGGACTACAACCCTGTCTGCCAGCATAGGATTTACCTAGCCATTATTCAGAGGTAAGTCCCATTGATGCCAGTTGGAGCTACTCAATATTCGCACAGCTTCTCCAGTCACACCACTTCTGTGGGTGCTCGAATGTGGAGTCATGTTTTTTTAGACATCCACTTTGGAAAGTTGGGGGCCAAGTGGCCCCATTCGTTTTTATCCGGGCAGGACTGTAGTGGGAACTGAGGAATGTGATGCATTTGCAATTACTTATTTGCAGCAACACACCATTGCGTGTGGCAGTAGGATGGGTTTTAGACTTTCTGGACCCCAGGTGGTTTTTGCTTCTCATACCATTAAAAACCTATTTACTGGAACAGCCCATAAGGCAAACATTAAACCCACAGAAACAACAACTGAAGTGGGAGAGACCCCCTGAACTCCATAAAATATTTACAAACAGCTTGAGGAGCCCTGGGATGAAGTACTTTCAAGCATAGACAAAAACCTAATGGATATAAAAATCCTTTTTTAGCTGTTGGTGAGATTTCTTTTCACAGATCTAGTTATGGTATGAGAAAATGTATGAGGTCATCCAGTCTGCCGCCTCCTCTTCCAGGAGAGAAGTGGTCCCAGTGCTATGTTTTATAACACTTGGCTCAGCCTTGCTCTGCCTGACTCAGACAACAGAAGCCAAACCCACTTCTTGGGAACCTTCTCAATTTTTCTAAATGTTTCACTTTGTGGAATTTTCCCCAGTATTCCACCCAGAACAATTCAACGCAGTATGTATAAAGACACTTCAGTGTCACGATCGTTCCCCTGCTGATTTCATGTTTAGCCCCTTCGACGACCCTAAACAATTTTTCAGCCAACACGGTGGTGATGTCCCTCGAGTATCTGTCCCCAGGAATGCTCCTCACCATTTGGTCATACTGCAGCTGTGCCCTGCTGTAACTGAACCTTCACAAGCAAATATTTTCAGCTGTTTTCATGTCTGTTCCTTCCTCTCTATGCTCCAGACATTAATATCACACTCGAGAAACAGGACAAGAAGAAGTGAAGAGGAGAAAGCAGGAAAGAGGCTAAAATGCCTTTCTTCATGCTACCCCCACTGTGCAGGCACAGAAAGATCCATTCTAAGTGTCTGGCCCCCACACATCATTTACATACTTACCTCTAGCATTTATGATAAGGGTATTGTTTTCATTTCTTCTTCCTCTTATATGCCTAATATATAGATATATATATTTTTAATTGTTATAACCTTTGAGTTTTTCACTGTTGTCCAGACAGTTAAGAGAAATGATGCTGCTCCTAGAAGAGGTTAAACAGGAGGAGTTTCTGCTTTGACACGTCTCAATAGCAAGATGACAAAAAGAGAACATCCCCTTGAAGGATTTTGTTTCCAGGATCTACTCCCAAGGGATTGTACAAGTGTCACAATCAAACAGTTACAGAAGAGAACTGAGTTTAAAGGAATAAATCTGAGATTCCCACAGCACTTGTTTTCTTTGCATCTTATCCTTTCTGTTTTAAAAGAAAGAAAAAAACCCATACAAAACAGTTGTTCCCTCATCAAAGCAGCCTTTCAGATTCATAAACCTTTTCCAAAACATACAAACTTTCTTGATTGCTGTTTTTTAAAATGATCCTAAAATGGCCTCAAAGTGCTAGAGAAATATGTACACAGATACTTGAAAAAAATCAAAGATACTCAGTTTAAGAAATAATTGTGATTTTTTTTTTTTTTTTATTTTTACTTTCTGACCAAGATTTTTTTCAGCATTTTAAATCTCTAACATCTAAAGCAGAACAGTGAACACAGTAACTTACCACAGCTTATTTTGTGTTAAAAACGTCATCAAGTGTTGTATACAATCATCGCCCTGAAATAAAGCCCTGAAATATGCAGAGGTACGAGTCCTACCATATCCAGACTAAGCTGCTCTTTACACAAGGTTCTCCTGAGGTAAATTCCCATCCTAGAAGCAGCTCACCCTCATGACACTACTCACTAAGTGATCATTATTCTAATTTTACTCCTGAGGAAACATAAGCAAGTAAGACAAAGCGTTTGTCTAAAACCAAAGAATAACTCAGGTGCATTTTGCTGACCTGTGGAAACTCAGTACATTGCTTTAATAGCTAGAATAAACTCTTTCCACACTAGGAGAAGCTTTTTTTCAAGTTGATACTTTCCTGAGTGGAGCACAAGTATTTTCACACACTGGTACCTTTGCCAGAAAGCAAGACTGCTTTTCTTCTTTTTTCCTTCCACCATTACAAAGCATGGTTGTATGCAAGTGAACTTCTGCCTGTCTGCAGGACTTTCCACAGTAAGAGATTCTAGCAATAGCTCCAATCCCTGTAGGAGATGCACAGCAACTGGGTCAGGCTGTTTACAAAATAACTTGTGATTATTTGGGCAGAACTCAGCAGCTGTGACTGTATTCTACCAGAGTATAATTACAGACAGACATAGTTAAAGCACTGTAAAATAAAGAAGCCGTGGCACTTAATAAAGGTGTTGAGGATTGGGAAGAGGTTAGGGTTCTGACTCTCAGTTAGTCCCGCAGATATCAGCTGATCAGGTTTATTCTGATCAAGAATTAAAACATCCATCTAAATGTCTGCTAAGGACAGTCAGCTCACACCCTCAGGAAAAGAGGGGATTTTGTAACAAAACACAGCAGAGTTTGCATACTGAAAAGATTCACTGTAAGGGAAAAGCTAAAAATAAAAATCTAATTGAACTCGATTATTTGTACATAAAATGGGTACACCACTGTACCAATAGCTGTGTAAAGCTAAGTGTTCCTATCCTTACCCCTCAGAAAGTGGCTGAAGCTCTCCTTCCCCTCCCAGATACACATACTGCACCAATACCTGACATGATGTTTCAGGATTGACTTCCAATTTGTCAGGACCCTGCGATTCACAAAACGTAGTCTTCTTCAGGCAACATCTATTCCTAAATGACAGAGCATGGGTCAGAAGGGCGGTAGGGAAGTGCCTATTTCTCTCCCAGCTATGGAGAGAAGGCTGTATTTTCTGGAACGAAGTAGTTACACTAATACTCCCAGCAAGCAATGCATTATCCTAATACTAGGATATACTCCAGTAACGGCTGAATCATTGTTATTTTATAGCGAAGTCTCAGGTGAAGGGAAACAACCATTTTCAAGACAACCTCATTATAGTGAATGAGACGGAAGAAATATCATGAAAAATTAGGCCGGGGAACCTTTCTTGTACTTATACTGCTCTTTTAAAAAGCTACCATTTTTTTTGTTCCATCCCCTTTGCTTTTATAAATGCTGCAGAGAGAAGATGAAAATCAACAATTCGGTCCATTTGCTTCACATCTGCTTACTTCACAGGCACTCCAATCAGCTCCTCTGCCTTTTCGGATATGCTGCTCTAAGTACCTTCCCAAGGTGATGCTTTGATTCTAGAGCAGGTTTGCTCTGGCAGGTTGCAGACAAAGAGGATCACTGTAGATGACTAGCCAAACAAGCCTTTCGCTTCCCTGTTCGTGACAAGAGCTTCTCAAAATCTATAAACAGCTAGCTGTCTTGGGAGGAGACAAGAACAGGTCTGATCCGCAAGCCTAATTACCTAATATTACACTGCTGAGTCCATGTCTGTGTCTAGCGAGGTGGCATGCTCAGACACAGAATACCTGTAGCATTCACTGCCTTTAGCAGGCTCCGTAGCTGCTCAGTCCTTAAGCAGGCTACGTGTGGATTCCGAAGCATAAGCATGGCCAATCACACTGTAGAAGTATTTCATGTATCATTAGATGTACAGGCCTAACCAGATCCGCCCCCACACACAAAGCTTAAGGCCATGTGTACTTACTTCACTGGAGCAGGACCATAATTCACTTTTTGACGCATGCACACTTTCTTAAACCTAAGAAAGGGAAAACATTTTTATTGATCTTTGGTTTCATTTTGGAAGACATCAAGTTCTTGCCTAAAAAGCTGTTGTAAGTACAATTGCCAGCTGTCCAAGGCTGCCACAGTAATTCTGCTGAGGAGAATCAGAACTGGGCTCTCTCTCCCTCTCCCAGAGCAAACAACTGAGCAACTTCACCCCTCACAGCCACAGCCAGAAAGTGCCAGGCAGCAGCAACCTTCCTACTCCGGCAGCTCCCTCGCGTACCTAACACATGGCTCTGTGCCGCTCTTCTTCCTGAAGAGGAATTCAAGGGAACCAGACCACCGCCCCTGGCTTTGTGCATGTGCTCCAGGAACCAAATACTTGTCCGAGGGCCCATCACAGGCTCTGTGTAATTCAGTATCTGACAGGTCACAACCCACAGAACACTAAAATACCATAGGCATGTTACAGTTGAGCTAAAGTTGCAAGCTACTAAATGGATTTTTAATTAAAATAAGAGAAAAACTTGCCACTACAGTACAGAGCAGATATACGTTTTACTAACTTCTATATCATTTTGTTGACTCTCCTGAGAACTCAGGTGTTTCTCCCACAACACTGCAGATCTAAAAATCTTCTCTTGGAGCTTAGAAAACCAGGTATCGCTCAGTGAGGATACTGAACAAGAACTACACAGCTCACCAAAAGCACCTTTACTACAATCAGCACCTCTTCAGTTAATAACCTTGGTGAAGTACAGTTGAGCCGTTACAAATTTATGTGGATCCAGTCATTTCAATGATCACAGATCCCTGCAGATACACTTAAATTTGAACAAGCTCAGTTTGGAAATGGCAGTAGGTCAGCACTGCTCCGGACTGCCGCCGGATGTAAAACCAAGCATACCCCAAGCTGACTGTGCCAATACTGACTGCTTCAGCCACTCTACATTGTTCATAGCTCTCCTTTACTACCTCAAGGATGTTCCTCTAAGTTTACATGGTCTGGAAATTAAAAGATGCTGTTTCAGGGCACACCCAGGCAAGATGCACACGTGGCCAGGCACAGCAGCACCCCGCACTTTCTATTCCCTGACGGGAACTGACAGGCAAGAACAGATCTCTGCAATCATTAACACTAGAGGAGCCTAGTGCTAAAACCACATACTAAATGCCAGTAACAGCGCTCATCAGCTTATGAAGTATTTCATACATCTCCTCCAGGCAATCAAAGTAAATTCAAAATGCTGCTATTACAGTAAGCTTAAATACTGTATTTTAATTAGGTGGGGGGGGGGGTCTCAAACTGGAAAACAGTTTGAGCCTTCATTTCAGCTCCTTCTGTTGCAGTATGTAAATATTCAAGGTACAAATAGAGTGCTGTGGACAGGCAATGGACCATGAAGTATTGTCCAGTGCAAAATGCAGAACAAGAGATTCTAACAGCAACTTTAAAAAAGAAAAATAACACTAAAGCTACCTCAAGTGAGACTCATTATACAAGCAAGATGACAAACAGCAGTAGAAGCAGGAAACCTTACTTTTTTGTGGCCACATGCAAACCAGTGTTGATATTAATCCAAGAAAGTAAAATAGACAGCGAGAGGCGATCAATTTTCCAGATTCTGAAAAACTGAAACAGCTACAGGTCTTTGCAAGAAAAACACCGAGCACTTATTTTTTTACTATTGTTTTTACTACTTGGGTAGGAGAGGGCTCTGACAAGCCTACGTGCTACAGTGTATTTAAACTACAGAAATTCAAACCCACTAAAACCGCAGACCCAAGTGCACTCCCAAGGTGGACTCCAGTATTTCCGTGGGTTTCTTGTGCTCCACACGCAGTCCACGTGCCGAGCCCTCTCCAGCTGGGAACAGAAAGCCTGGGTTACAGCTGTTCTCCAGCATTTCCAGAGTAGTTCATTATATTGTCCAAGTGGCACTATTTCTTCTTCAGAGCTCTCTTTCCTTCCCCCTTCTTCGGTTTTTCCTTCCCACGGAGCTTTTTCAATCGCCTCATCTCCTCCTTGAAGTCCTGATGCTCATCCCTAGATGGGGGAGGAAAGAAAAAAAACAGTTTATTTCTTGGAATACCTAGACATGAAAGGTTTTTTGAACTATATGATACTGAAAAAAACCCTCAAAACTTTTTTTTAACAGTGAAGTCCAAACTGCAACTCAGTGCAGTGTATTCAATGTTACTGCGAGCGGTAATTTTGGAGTGAAAAACTTGAAGGATTTTCTCTGGTACTTTCAGAACAAGGCTGTCCTTTTCAGCAACAAATGGTGCGTCCATATATATATTATTTCCATTGCATTTATTGATCCACTGTGTTTAAATGAGTAGTAAGATATAAAAATCAGCAAGAGACAAGAATGAGAATTTTCCCCTTCTCATCTAGCTCAGCAGTCTAGCAATAGCACATTGTGTTTCTGTGCTAGATACTAAGTTCAGGTCATTAGCTTTTAAGAAAACAGGGGCATGCTGAGCAGTAATTACAGTACATGACACTGCTCTCAGGTGACTTCAAGAATGAGTTATGAAGAAAGCATCAGCTACTGGCAGAATCTTAATAGGCAAATAAAACAGGAAGGAGGATAAAGGGCCTGGAAGAGATAATGAATCCTCAATAATGCTCTAATAAATTTTATTAAATATCTGCCCTTGTATTTTTCAGCATGAAGGTATTTTTCAAAAGTCACAGCTGCATCCGAAGCGGCCTGAGATTGCTGCACCACTCTTTTTAAACACAACGTCTCTAAAAAAGAAACAAAACGCTTGCGAATTATTATCAGGCCCTATTAGCCTACGACTCTTCATTACGTATTTCTGAGCAGCAAACCTGATCCTCTACAAGGTCTCTGTGTACAGAGCAGCTAGAGAAGGAACTTGAAATTAGGAGACGAAGGAGTAAAGAACATTATCATGTCACTGAGGCTTTCTGTGTCAGCAAACATCCACTCTATAAAGTGTTTGCACACGCAGCTAACCCAAGAGCAACCTGGACGCAATCCCTGATGGCTAGTATTGAGATACAAGCCATAGAATGAATCTGGTTTGACTTCACAGGGTTAGCAGCCTCACTTCTAAGGGATTTCTTTAGTGCTACCTGACTGACGTCAAGGAACCACATTTGACACCTGCTGATGTTCTTTAGCAGTGCAGTTTTTCCTACTCGAGACCATGGAAATTCATTTAGAAATCAGACAACTGGTTTGGAAGAAGCTAGAATTAACAAGGCTATTTAAACTATATTAACTTATTTTAAAGGATAAGAAGCCCCTCCAGCCTAACACAGACTTTCCTTCGCTTATAAATTTCACTTATTAGCTCCTGAACAATTGAAGAACATGTAGTAGGACTGTCTTAGTGCAATTTTTGTGTTAAGGCAACATCACCTTTCTGTAGCACGTTCAGTTGCTGTACTCAGAACTACAGACTCATCTCTTCCCTATAAGAAAGCTCTCTTCCCCACGAAGCCAAAGCAAGAACTATTTCTTATATAACTGGATGCCCATAACTACACCTGAAGTCTTTCTCACAACAGGTTCTAATTATGGTAAAAGTTACTTAAACAGTAGTCGCTTATTTTACTCTCCTTGCCCTCAGTGCAACAATGAGGTGTGTATTTCCATATGCGCCACAGTCTGAACTAAACCTCTTTCTATGTTCCCCTTCTCCTTGAGGAAAATAAACCTGTAACAAAACTCACACCCACCCCTTTCCCATCTCCAGTCCTGCTCCCACCCTATAAGCACAGAGATTACCTGTAGAGACCAAAGTAACGGAGTTTCTTCATGAGGGCATAGTAGGTGTTGTGAGGAGGATACCAGCTGTAGACCTCCTTCTGCTTGGCCAAAGGCTGCGCACTGAATAACTTCACTACTTTCATAGATTTTGAGTCAGTTGGCCTGACAATTTCTCCAAATATCTGAGCACTCAGCCGGGCCATTCGAAGGGCGTAACTGGAAACATTGGACATCTCCCAGGGAAGAGTGGGCACACATAGACAGACGGATCTTCCTGCAAAAGGAAACACAAAAGAGCCACAACTGACTGAGTATTGCAAGCTATCCCAGAATTAAGGCAAACTCATTGTTCTCTAATCACACGTCTGAAGTCACGCGTTCCTTCCATGAAATCAGTCTAATTCTTAGTACATAATCCTGCACATAAAGAACACCTGCGCTAATTCAGGTACAATTACCAGCCTAACTAGGACACTGCAGACACCGATAGGGACTATAAAAGTACCTACTCTGAACCACAATTTACCATGGCTAGTTTATTAGCAGATCCCACTCAGAGTGCTTGAGGCCATCTTCAAACTTCAGTCACAGGAGCAATTACAGTCTGAACCCTGCCAAAACTGGTGCCCACTGAAAAGCCTACGACTTTTACCCAAGGACAAGCTAAGACACCACTTAAATATATCGAGGAAGCAACCTGGAAGTTCTTCTCATCAAAGTTTCTCAGCCTATTTAAAACATTGTATGAACATTGTTACAGTCCATCTAGCAAAACTGTAAAAATAAAAGAAATCATGCTTCTCTACATGAATCACACAGATCCTTCCCATCTTAACTCCCTTCCCTTGACCATCTCCATTAGCTTTTTCTCCATTCTCTTCAGTCTCTCCTGAAATCTGTTCTTTTTAGGAGAGGAAAGAAACAATTTTACCATGCTAGACTATTTTTTCTGTCTCCCACCTAAAGACACCTCTACAACAAAAATGCTCTGAAAACAAAACCATTGTTATTAGGCCACGAGAAACAACATCCACGCTCTCTTGAAGGACTGTGAAGGTCTTTTTCCCAGCTTTCCTACCCCTCCCCATTTTTTTTTTCTTCTTTGCATCTTTTCTTTACTCTTTCTTTGCAGAATGGGATGTAAGACAAGAAAATAAGAGTCCCATAATTCTGTATTTGAAGGTGTATGCTGCCTGTGCTGTGTCTTTTTGAATAAATGACATAAGTCTCCAGAGAAACGAAGCGGGGTTTGTTCAAGTGCACTCTGCTTACGTTGAAGTTTAAAATTCTTGTTTTAAGAAGTATTGCACAGCCGATTCCAGAAAATGAGCATGAAAAATTCAAGGGCATCGAGAAGGGTCAAGAGTAATCAGCAGGACAGGGGTAATTCCATTTTAGTATAACAGGGAGCCTGTTTAATAACACAAATCTTAAGTATTCGTAACCTCACTTACATATGTCTGCCCACTGGAGGACCTGATATACAACTGTCTACTTTGATTTACCCCTGTTAGCAAAGCCACTAGAACAGAAGCAGGAAAAACAAAATCAAGGATGAAAATATTACAAATAATTTAAGTCAAAGACAGTAGTAGAGTAACAAAAGGAAAGGCGAAGTGTCAAGAGACCTCAAGTTAAAGCAGCAGGCCTACTGTAAGAAGATAGAAGCTCTTAAATGATCACAGGGCAGCACTTTGACTTGAGCACCTATTGCACGGGGTACTGATCACTAAGTCTTGCTATATCATCCATTTCTGAACAGCCTGTCCCAATTCCTACATTGAGAGATAAAGCAACAAATTGGTCTCAAAACTCATCACATCATCACTCTGAAAATACCACCACACTCAACTCAAACACAAAGCTTGCTTAATCTCTTCCAACTGCAGCCTTAAAATGAAAATACCTCTAGCTCCTAAATAATGCAAACCAGCTGTCTGAGGGACCTGCTTTTCACTTCAAAATCGCTAAAGGAATCTAAACAGCTAAAGCCAAGGCTGGAGACCTCCATTAATCCTTGCCAGCCTAAGAACATTTGAGATGAGAAAGGCAAAAGCCATCAACTCCCAAGTGCCAAAGCTATCCAAAGCTCGTTTTAAGGTGACCTCCCATTCAGTGAGACGCTACCAGAACAGTTTTGTTCCTGTCACTTACAGCAATGGTATTTTCAGAACATACTGGCAATGAACACACCTAAACCTAAAGCAAAGCCACCACGCAGCGCTGCTGCGTCACCTGCTCCCCACTCCTTATCGGTGCTCAAGGACTTGTTTTCCCCTCTTAGGCTGGGATTTCTCCTTCCTGACCCACCAGCTTGCCTCGGACCATTTCCTCCCGGCTCAGCACATGGCAGGAAAACTTTCTGTCTCCAGAGCTACTTCTGATTTTTCCCCGAGCACAGCGGGAAGTGAAGGCTGCCCGGGACCACGGGCCGGCCAGCGGGGCCCCCCTAAGCCAGGCCCGGCCCAGCGCAGCCCCCCCCCCCCCCCCCCCCCCCCCCACCTCGCCTCCCTCCAGGGGGGCAAACCCGCAAACCCCCCCGCCGGCTCCAACCGCAACCCCGCTACCCCCCGGCGGGGCCCAGGATCCCGCCCCAGGGCCGGGCCGGGCCGAACCCCGCAAGGCCAGGGCCCGGAGCCCCTCTCCCTCCCCTCCACGCCCCGTTTCTCCTCACGGCCTCAGGCCCAGCTCCCCCCACCAGAGCGGGCAGCCGAGCCGCCGGGCAGCCGCTCACCCCCCGCGGGCGGCGCGGCGCTGGCACGGCGGGGCGGGAATGGACGCAGACCTCCGCGGGGGGCGCATGCGCGGCGGCTCCCCTCGCCGGGGCGGAGCGCGGCGCGTGACGTCGCGCTCTGCGGGGCGGCCGTTGGAAAGCGGCCGTTGGAAAGCGACCGTTGGTTCCCCCACAACACTCCCCCCCCATCCATCCATCCTTCCACCCCGGCACTGAGGGACGTTTTATCGGGGTGCCCGGAGGCGATGCGAGTTCCTCGCCCTCAAAAGCTGGGCCAGGGACGGGGCCCAGGGGAGCGGCAGGTCGCCGCGGGAAACCCCTGAGGGATGAGGGCGAGCCCCTGAGCGCTTCCCGCTGTCGCTTTTGGCAGACCCTCAAACCCACTTCACCTGAGCTCTCCCGGTGCTCGATTTATGCTAATTTTTAATCAGTGCCAGGAGGTGCTAAATCAGCCTCTGTGCAAACATCTGAGTAAATGGCAATTATGTGATTACATTTATAAGCCAAACGTGTAATGCCATCAAAGACTGAAACTGGGCTTGGCTGGCTGGATCTGCCTTCTGGAAGAGTGGATACTGACTGGCATTAAATAGATGGTTAGTCCTTCCTTGTTTATTTTTCTGTTATATTTTCCATGCTTGCTCCAGGGGCTGATCAGCCTCGTGGTCTGGGCACCCGGGTCACCTCTCTTGTGCTTTTTGAACGTCGATATGATCATCTGTAATTTCCTTCATAATCCAAGGTTCACTAGAAGTTAACAGTCCTGGGATTTCTTCAGCCAGTTCTTCAAAGATTGTTACACAAAAGTTCTCCAGATATCCTAGTTTTAAAATGTTTGTTCTACTAGATGTTGTTTACCGTTTTCATTACTTACTAATAGACTGAAAAGTGGTTTGTTTTTTATGTTTTTGGTTTTTCTTTGTTTGTTTTGTTGTGTTTTTTTCCCTGATTTTTTTTTTTGTTTTGTTTGGTTGGTTGGTTTGTTGTTTTTTTTTTTTTTTTTTTTTTTTACTAAACAATAAAGTGCCTCTTTCTTAATCTTGCTAAGGAGGGAATAGAAGTTTTTACCATTTCTGCCACGTCTGTGGTATTTTAACCATCTCTGTCTAGTCATACACGTCAGCACTGCTGCACTCCTCATCTTACTGTCTGTAGTCACATTACTCATGCATTTTCTATAGTCTTTCGTTTTTTGTATACTCCAGAACATTTTTTCCTATATTTTTGCCTTTCAACATTTTTCTATACTGTGCTTTTAACTTCTGAGTGTTTTCTTCACTCTACTGCAGAGCCAAAATTGTCCTTCAGCCTAAACTGGCCATTTTGTTAATTATATAATCACGACTTTCAGACGATGGAGTAAGATCATAAGAGTTCTCATTTGCATTTCATTCTCTATTTTTGAACCGTATTTTTCTCATAATTTCTCTCATTTTGATGGAGATAGTTTTTCTGAGGAGTCTCTGTGTGTGTAGGAGAGTATTTCCCTGGCTGGGACTGTCCTTTTTCACTTGTCATAATCCAGTTGTGATTGCTGGTTCCTAAGCAACCACCCCGTTTTTTTCCCACAATTAAATTGTTTAAACAATATGAGTTCCAAAATACTTATTCTGTGTAGACGGGAATAACTTCTGTCATAGAAAATAAATTTTAGAAAATCTAACGAGACACGGCTGCTGGCTATTTGAGGCTTTGTCCTCATACAGCTCCAAACTGAGCACTCTTCTTGGAGGAATAAGCAGTTGGATTCTCTGTAGCCATCTCCACTCCATTCCACCTTTCCCCAGTAGGATTAATTGGGGCAAGTTACTGTCTCTGCATCTCTAAAATAATGATGGTGGTTTAATATGTGATGTTACCTTCCCACATCTCCAAATTTCTTTATTTGTTTAACAGGATTTTGGCAAAATATTTTAGTATTCCAGTTAGGTAAATCATCCTGCCTGTTTCAGTAATTATATCAGTTTGATCTCATCTTTCCTTATGAATGAAAATGTCCAATTCTTCTCGCATGTTACCCACACTCAGAAATTTGGCATATAGATCACCGAAAAACATCTTCCTCTGTCCCTCTAAGTACTGATTTACCTAAAAAATGGATCCTGGTAACATGGTTCTGGTTCCGTTTCTGGTTTTCTGCAACATTATCACCCCGGGGTCTGATTTTCTAAAGTTGCTCTGTTGGCCAGAGACATTTAGCGGATTAGGCTGATGTGAGAATTGTGGCTGTTCGTGGTCAGGGCAGTCAGCAAACTGACTTTCTTAATCGTAGTTGCACATCACAGCTCTGGATCAAGAGCTAGGAATCACACTACAAAGATTTTCTCTGCAGAGACCCAGTGCTGTTACCTACACTTTGCAGGCTCCAGCATGGCTTTTTTTGGTGTAATAGAAGCACGCATATATGAACAGGTCTGCATTAGTTCATTTCTTCTGCCTATTTTCCTCCAAAATCAGTCATTTCTCCTGTCAGCCGTGCAAGAATATGCAAATATTATCAAATCTGAGGTCAGCAATAAAGTAAAAATGTGCACTCACAAGAGCATATTTTTGTTAGTGTATCACTGTTATTGCTGTGGTTATGAGAAGAATTGCTTGCGAAGCACCCAGCCAGGGTTAGTGTCTTAGCCAGTAAGGCAGCATACAGATGCTCAGGAAGGAATGTCGCGGTCACAACAGTCAACAAATTGACAACTCAACACATCTGCAAATTTGTAGAGGCAGAGCATGGACTGTTTTGCGATCCACGTAGCCATAAATGGGCTTGTGCACCTCATCTGAGGGACTGTGTCTCCACAGATTCTGCTGGGGAGTTCAAGCTTCACTGTGGAGGATACTGTCCAAGTCACTCTCCCTGAGATCATTCCCCTTGTTGTGAGAACAGCTTAGACAGGCCAGGTGGGCTGCCTAGCAGTGCTGTTTCGTGCATTTCTGGGAATAATTACCACCAGTGAGTGGTAAACTGGTGGCTGCACTCCTGTTTTAGTTGCTAGTGCTTAACGTTCAGAGTGATAGCTGAACTGCTGTCCAAGCTCTTTCTTACTGTGCCTCCAGTTACAGAAGGTATATATTTGCTGAATTTTTTTAGTTATCACTGTGGGGAGGTGACAGGAGTGGAAGACATTTGTGTTCCACTCGTCCGTGCCTGCAGAGCTCATCTACCTTCATGCTAATGCAGAATGATGGGGTGGTTATGGAGATGGGGTGCACAAAAGAGCTAGACCTCCGGTTCCTGAAGCGGGTGGTATCTAGACTGCTATGCAAAGCCCCCTGTCTCATCAGACCGATATAATACTATTTATATAGTGCTATAAGTGTGTGCGGACTCTTCTGGACACATAAAATGAATGCCCCCACTCTGATGTTTTCACAATCGAAATTAGACTTGACGTGCTAAGGGATGATAATAACAGGGAATGGAAAGAATCAGCAGAGGCTGACAACAGGAATGGGCTTGTGATGAGCTGAATTCTATGGATGTATTGTTAGATCCTCCCGAGCTTTTTGTTGTAAATAGCGCAAAGTGTTTGGACTTGTCAGCAATTATTTAGAAGAAAATCGGTGATAGATGGGTGAGTGAAAGAGGTAAAACCTTAGAAAGAAGTTAGAGGAGAGTGTGTTGATGTGGGGCTCGGAGACAACATGCGCATTCTCTGCATGGGGACTGCTGTGAAGGAAAGAAATCAAGGGACTGAAGAAACATGCATGGAGCACAGGCAGAGCAGCAAAAAAAAAAAAAAAACCAACAAACCAAAAATGGGGAAGAGACCTCATGATAGAGTACAGAGAGGACCTTTTCACAAAGAGTTGGCAATAATTTTATCTGGAATTATTTTATTTGGTCAATAGTCACCTGGAATTACTTATCTGCTTAATTCTTCTTTTGTAGGTATTTTAGTTATAACTGAGTGTTGAATAGCCTAAAGGTAGGCTTTTGACAAAAAAGCAACATCTGAGCCACTATGTATTTGTCCTGAGAAGGCAAAGGTATACCCAGAAAGAAAAAAATGATCAGGATGTCAGTTTGCTCATTGGTGCTTGTTTATTGACACTTATGAAGAAAGAAGAGGCTGAACTTGTTTCATTTGATCTTGGAAATGAGGCATTTGAGTAGTTCCTGTATGGCACAGCAATCAACTTCACTCCTAAGTCTTATGCTTAGAACTCTGATCTTGTGCTGTAAGATGTTCTCTAACATTTTGTTGTTATAAATATTGATATGAGGGAACAAAATCGTCTTCGTCTGAGTCAAGTAGAAGGACCCTCTGAGCATTTGATAAAACCCCATTGGCTACATCTGTGTTTTGAATACGTTTGTTATTCATTTTTTACGTGATCGTGATTAATTGGTGAACTTCAATTGTATTTTACTGTGCAACGATTCATGCTGAGCCATGGAGACATCTAGCAGTGCAAATCCCTCTGCAGAAAATATGTTTTATTAAGAGACTGACAGACTTTGGGTGGGCATTTGAAGGATATTTTGACTTTAAAATACCTAATCAAACTAATGCCACAGAGTGAAATCTACACAGATGCAGCTTTTAAATACTGCTGCTCCAACTATCTAACGCTGAAAACACTTGGGAGGCAGATGCAGTGTAAGAGAAAAACAGAAATTATTTTTCAAAGCCAGTTGGCATCTTAAGCTTATTGCTTTCCCAGAGAGCCAGGCTGTTGAGGCAGCCTTCTCACCTCCTGGGGAAAGAGAGCAAGTGCTCTTCCTCTCTCTCATGATGCCCTCAAACTGCTGCCTGAAACGGTATTGACAGTTCTCCAGAAGAACTGTAGCACGTCCAGTTTTAATGGCAGATGAGCTGTTCAACGTAGCAGGGGGTGCATGAAGCTGAACAGGCAAGTGAGGGGAGGATGCTGTAGATCTCCACATAGCTGCATGCTTGTCATTTAGACTAACTAATTTGTAGTTTAACAGTATGACAGAATAAATGATCAGTGATTTAAGTGAAGTGCTTAAGACTGGAGAGAAGGAATATTTCTTAGTGGTTAGATCAAGGAACTGGGAATGAGAATTGTCGACTCTTGTTTTTTCTTAGCTCCATTACTAACTCACTGAATGACCTTAAGCA